AGGGCAGTGTCACTGGCCCTCATATGTGGGATCTGAACCGGGGCCCTCTGGCGTCCCAAGCCAGCTCTTAACCATCGCGCCACTCGGCCGGCCCCGAGTTGTTTTTTCTTCTAAAAAAAATATGTGCTCAGTAGAAAAGTATAAAGAGGATAACAAAGGTCATCAATAACTACACTAAATGAAAACTATGCCCACTGTTAACATCCTGATGTATGTGCATATTCACATAGATAGTTAGTTAAAATGGAACTATGTTATATATACTATTCCACAACTTGCTTTTTTGTCACTTAACCTATCAATGGGCAATTTATTTTTATAAGTATGGAGCTAAATAACCTTTAATGATGGAATATTCCATTGTATTGTTAAACCAGAATTTAATCAGTTCTCTACTGATGAACTTTTAGGTCGTTTCCATTCCTTTATTTATTTTGTTAATATAAAAATGACGAAGAATCTAGTACATACATCATTACAATTTTGTTTAATTATATCCTTGGGATAACTTCCTATAAATGGAATGCCAGGTCAAAGGATACACCTATTCACAATGGCACTATATTGCCATACACTCCTCCTTAATGTATCAAATTTGCACTCCCATCTATAGTATATGTAAATGCTCACATCCTCTCACATAATCAATACTAGGTATTAAAAAATATTTTAATCTTTGTCATCTGTTCTGGTTCTAAATATTAATCTTGATACATACTGTACTAGGAGAAAATAAAATACTCCATACCTTGGTCATCATGTTCTCCTCTCCAGATAATAATTCCATTTGGAAATTTCGGTATGTATTATCAATATTATTGATTTTATTAACTGCTGAGGTGATTCCTGGGTTTTTGTCAATCATAACTTGACCTAAAAGAAAAGACTCATAACAAATATTGCCTATTGACTGCATAATAAAAAGTAAAACTGCAAATATGAAATGGAAATGAACTGCATTTTAATTTGATAAAAACTGCATCTAGTGTGTGTAAAATGGCATGCAATTCTAAAAAATTCAACAGATTACTAAAATTAATGTCTGATAGCCTCCAAAAAAATGTATGGGTTCATTTTTAAAGAAACAATTTTGAGGAGTTTGGGTCTACTTACTATTTTTCCATGTTTTTTACTAAATGTCAAATGTACCAATACTACAATAAGCAAAAAGGTAGACCTTAGAGAATTGGTAAAGAATACAAAGAAGAAATATAGGAACCTGGCAACAAATGGTGTCAGAAAACACCAGACTCAGACCAAATGTTTTGCTTTACTGTGTACTTAAAACGCATGCCTCCACTTTGGAAATATATATCAGCAAAATAATGTTTTCAAACAGATTCTTTAGTCTTATGTAAATAAAATGTTCATTTACTTTATTTTTCTTTTTGTCAAATATTTGCCATACCAGAGAAAGCTACAATGATAATAAAATATACCAGAAATGGAATAGTAATGCCCTTTAATCGGTGTACTTTTTTGTCAGCAGTTAAAAAATTTGTAAGAATCCATGTGCTATCTCATTGCATAAGGAAAGATCACTTGATTTGTAAGTTAGTAAAAAGCACTCAGTACTACAAATATGCTGGAATACAACCAGAAATTGTCCAATTTCTCTCTGATAATTAGACATCTGATTTGACTACAATAATATTAATAAACTCTAGTCAGTCCTTGTTCTTATCCTGTTCTGCTTCAGATATCAGAACTCAGTTTTTAAGGTACAGAAGTTAGTTTGAAATGAGGAATGAAATTTAAAAAAGAATCTACTCTGAAGGTCTATAGTAAAAGTTTCTAAATTAGCACCGTGTGAAAATGTTTAATTTATGAGTGCCCTTTTATGAAAGTTTATAAAGTAGGAACGACAAAAGGAATGTTGGAGTTAGGATAGGCAATGATTGATTCTTAGGAAAGCTTAGACTTGACATCTGCACCTTCATAACGATAAGGATCTGCTTAAGTATTTATTATGTTATCACTATGCATTATCAGCCCCTTTCATCAATAAAAACAAAGGAAATGCATAAGAGAATTATTTCTGAAATCCTACCCATGCACAATACTGGGCACTACATTTTAAACTGAAAATAATGCCCAGAAGTTCTAACTCTACACTGAAATGATTAATCTGGAGCATGCATGGACATAAAATAGTCATATAATGACAAGTGCAATTTTGATTAGTTTTCTACTTCTTTCTTATCCCAAAGAATAAAGCATCCAAGCTCAAACTTGGGGCTACAGAGGTACGACATACCCAAACTTTGTTTCTAAAAGGCTAGGGGCACTAAAAAACAAAGTATGATGCCTGACATATAGAAGAGGCTCGAGTAGTTGAATTAATTAAATTGTGAGTACAGTGTCTAAAACATTCAAATTAATGAAACCTAGCTTTCAACATAGTCCTGAGGCCTAGTAAGTCCTGTGTACCAAAATGACAAGCTGCCAAAGAATTCTGCCAAAGCAAGTGATTCAAGTTTTACCTATGCTTATGTACTGTGTACACAAAAGTTTGAACTGATACTTAAAACTTGCTACGACTCTGGAAAAAGTATTCCAAAATGGCCCTCAAAAGAGTTGAGTATGTGGCTCAAGAGCCAGCCTAAAATTAAAATGATAAAAATGTCCTGCTTCTGTGATTTGGCATTAAAAAAAATAATTTTAGAAGCTAAAATCAGAACTTGCTAATTGCTTTCCAATACACGAATATTACTAAGACACACCTACCAATTAAATGCTTGAAAGGTAGTTGATGATCTCGAAGGTTCAGGTGGGCAATATGTCCAACTCTGCTAAACCCTGAAGTCACATCTTGACCTTCAGGAAGCACAGCTCTCAAAATTTCTTCTGACTTAAAGTTTTCATAAGTTAGTTCCAAACTATATTTAGATATCTGTGGACTAACATTAAGCTGCTTTAAAATACCGAGTTCTGTTTTCTCAAAGGAATCATCGGTAAACATCGTATAGGGATCCAACATAATTAGTCTACTTTCTTCATCTTCTGGATCTTCAATCACACGTTTTATGCCTGGGCGCTGCAGTGCTACCCTTTTAAGGGATCGCATTAATTTACTGACAACTTCTTTTCTCACTTTAAGCACTGGGATGGTGACTGTCTTTTTAAAAGCTGTTCTATCAAGTTTTGTCATTCCTCGAACATCAGAGGGTGGTGAAAACAATTCACAGTGGCTCTGACTTGTTTCTATTTTGGGCATGGTTGAGAATCTTTTTCTTTGATCCAACAAGAAAATACCAGGTGCTTTGCTAAGTTTCTGTATCAGTGATGTCCAAGCTAGTGGAATCAGTGATTCCGATTCAGTTATTCTATAGCTTTCCACTTTCAGAAGTCTTCTTAAGAATCCAGATGGCCTCCACAAGATCCTAAAAAAAGTATTTACTTTAAAAAAAATGCCATAAAGGTACAAACCAACTTAAATGTTCACAATAAGTTTTGAGAATAAAAACCTAAACTGTTTTACATAACCACTAAATGCTGGTAATTAAAACTTTTGGTAGTGTATGAGAAGTATACTATCTCTTCCACAGAAGAATTACTTTTATTAGTGGTAAATAATAAATTTGCACCTTCAATCCCCCTCCTGCCAGGATGAGGGTTTAATGACCTATCAGCCTCCCTATACTTAATGAACCTCTCCACACAGAGGAGATACAGAATACATTTGGGATTGGAAGGCCGAGATTTGAGTTAAAGGATCATCTCTAAATGAAATGGTCATTATATTTTATAGCTTTACCAAATAGCAATATTTACTAGGATAATCTCATGGGTGCTTATAGTGTCAGATGCTGTGTTACATACTTTACACACGTTATCAATCTTGGGAGGTGTGTGGTATAGCATCTTCATTTTGTAAATGAATAAACTAACGCTCAGAGAAGTAGGTTAACTCACCCAGTCTCCTTGCTGGTAAGTGGCTGAGCAAGGATTAAAACTCAGGTCTGACTGACTTCAGTGGGCACTTGATTTGCCACAAGTCCTGCCTATAATCAGAGGCTTCAGTATTTTGAGGACGAGGACTTTGCTGACTGTTATATACACATGCCATTAGGAGTATCAGTTATGCACTTTTCCTTCTAGAATACCAAAGAAGTAATAGTAAGAGGAAAGGGCCCTGCCCCAGAAACCTGTAAAGCAAATATCAAACTTCACGGGGTCAAACTGGGTCTAGCAGTTCACCAGCCGTGTGAGCTTGGGTACGTTACTTAATCCGAATCTCGGCTCCTCGCACGTAACATGTGGCTAACGACTTGTCAGAAAGCTTCTGAAATGGTTCAACAGATTCCTGACTCCCAGCACTCGGACCTAGGCTAAGTCCCCCGGCCGGTGGGGGACCTCGCGGCGTTTCCGTGCCCGGGCAGCGCGAGGCGGAGGGCAGCCCGGGACCATGGGTGCCGCCACGGGACCCTCAGCCCCTTCGAACTATCAAGGGCACCGCGGCCACCACCTCACCAAGGTTACCATCCCACTTCGTGGTGTCGCTCTGCAGCGGGATTCGAGACCAGACCCCTCACCTCATGCTCTGCAGCTGCTCGGCAGAGGGTCGCTGGTGGATGGGCTGGCCCGGGGTTACGTCATCACAGTTCGCCGCCGAGGGGCGAGCGTCATCAGATCACGTCGATTCCCTGCTTTCTTCCCGGCCCTGGTGAGGTACGGGAACCCTGAAGGGCCAGACGCTCAGCTCCGCCTCTGGCGCGACTAACGGCGGGAGGGTCAGGTTAACAGCTCGCAGATGGACCTGGTAGTCGGCCAGCAAGCAGCATGGAGGCCCCCTGGGGAATCATCAACGTCGAGCCAAGCTGGTATGTCTCTGCCCAGCAGCCGGTCGAGGCGGAGGCGGAAGAGTTGAGCCCGTTGCTAAGCAACGTAAGTCGCTCCGCGTGCTTCCCTGAGCTGACGGCCACCCGGTTTCCCTGAAGTGCCTGCCAGATAAGACCGGGAAAAGAAGGGGGATGGCATGGGGAGAGGGGAGAGGCTTGAGGCTTAGGACCCAAAGACCCCAGCCGAGATTCAGATGCGACCTGGCGGAGTGCATGAATATGATAGCACCCTAACGTGCCCTAGCAAGAAAAGCTGACGTAAAGGTGCAGTCAGGTGGAACCCATGTGGGACAGGTGCAGCGGGGGACCCGACTGGAGGAGCAGCCCTAGGGTTGTTATGTAGCTCACTGCTGTTTGTTAGTATCTTTGTCAGCTTCCTGTTTCCTCCAACCAGTCTTGTGAGGTTTTTGCAAGAGTCACAAGATTTTTCTTTTCTTGACTTAGTCATTGGGGGCTGTAAACATCTTAATACAGATATCCTTAATGGTGAAGGAGTGGAGGTGGCTTGGTAATAAGTACATAGGGCTTCCCTGACGCTAAAGCCTGTGCAGTGGGCACTCGACTTTTTAACTCAAGTCTCTGGACTGTAATACCTTCTAGGACTCGGTTCCTAAATGCTGTTTTGGGGGAGGGTGTTTTCAGGGGTATCCTCGCCAGAGCGCGTGAATTGCTTCTGTTTATTATATTGCCATTGCAAGGTATTCCAGACCATTCTTCCAGCTGGGCGGACTTAATTCATTAAGTATATAGAGATTAGTTTGCAGTACTAGCAATTGAGGAGCAACAGTTGTCTACAGCAGCCTCAGGATGACTCAGGAATTCTTCAGTAGTCACATGAGCTGAGGCCATCTGCTTCCTCTCCGTCCCCAACCCATTCCTATCCTATTTTTTGCAGTCACAAGATTAATGGTGGCTCTTCCTGAAGCCTACCTGGCTTCTGTGTTGGTGGAGATGATTTTCCTAGGAAACTAGATTCCTGGAGTTGCACTAGTGAGAGATGAGAAGGGAAGGAAAGGAAACCAGTGCTGATTGAACAACTAAGTGTGTCACACAATGCCTGTAGTCTGCAGATTTTCTGATAACCTGTCAGTCATTCCTTGATGAAACTTGAACTTCACCATCTACATACTTAACACTATTAAATTTGTGTGCTCACAGGAACTTCACAGACAGGGATCCCCAGGTGTTTCATTTGGTTTCTCAGTGTTTAATTTGACAAATGCCATCATGGGAAGTGGCATCCTTGGCTTAGCTTATGTTATGGCCCATACTGGTATCCTTGGATTTAGGTGAGTTTTTTTCTTATTTTACCATTACTTCCCCCCCCCCATTTGATAGTACAGTGAGAAGCAAAGAGATAGGCTCTAGAAACTGATGTTATATAATTTCCAGTGAAATTATTTCTTGGGTTTTAACATTTTCCTGGTACTCTTGTATTGTTGGTAGTCTGTAGCTTGGAGGGATGCTATATAATTTGCATTTTTTATTCAAAAGTGTGGCTAATTTTACGAAATGGAAACTGGATCCACACTCGTTTATAACCTTAAGAAGTGGCTTATTTGTTGTGTCAAGATGGCCAAAGTGTCGAAATTTATCAGCCATGCAGATTACTTATAAGTAGCAATTTTGTGAGTTTGTGAGTAATCTTTTCATTTCTCTCTATTTCCTCCTCTCCTCCCACTGTAGTCTTGTTTCCTTTCTGGGGCCAGACATGTGTTCTGTGCCTATTTGTTTTCATCTTTCAAGACTCTGCTGATATGCCAGTTTGCCTAAAATAAAAAGACATCTGTGTTCCCATAATACTTTGTATATTCATTCTGTTATTATAATGTAATATAATAATTTGTTTGCAAGTTAATTTCCCCACTAAACTCTGAAATCCTTTAGAACTGGACCTTATTTTTAGCATCTAGCACCATGGTTAACAGAATGAATGAACAAGCTTGTTTTGTTTGCTTTATTAGTGGAAGCAGACCTATTTTACTAGGCAATTTAAAACACATAGGGAGTCTCATTTTGGTTTTTATCTGCTTTTATTTGAATCTCTTGATAAGCAAACTAACTTAAGTAACCCATAACTTGCTTTATTATGGGATGTATTCACAAACTTTCATAATTTTAAAACTTCAAAATTATATGTGACACCTTAGGCAAGACATAATCATAGGACTTATTTTTTGGCTCCCTTTGAAAAATCATGTTTTGTACTTCAGGGTCTTACACGCAAGTGTATACCACTGAGCGTGTGCTCACTGAATCATATCACACATCACACTTCCCATTTGGTGACACCAAATTGTTTTTTTTGTGAGGTCTCTGATGTCAGTTTACTGAAAAGTGCACTTTCACCTCTCAGCTTTGCTACTTATTAACAAGTATTAAGTGGACCACAAAGATGGAATTTCTTCGACTATGGAGGCACTCCACTGTGGACAGCTTTGTAGAAGCTTGCCCTGTCAGTATCATCCTGAGAATAAGGAGGGGATTATGCATGTGGTTTCTTTTCACACCGCTGGTGCAAACAAATACTACATTGTTTGCACATTTTTCAAATTGTGTCATTAAAAGTATGTTCACTGCATTTTTTTTTGTTTGGTTTGGTGAGTTATGTGTGTTTAATAGATGATAGGAAATTCAGCCTTAATTCAGTATTAAAGATATTGATAGAGAAATACACATCATTCTAAGGGGAGGCATGGAGGGAAGTAAAAAAGAGAAGACAATGAGTTTTCACAAGTAAAATTTTTGTTTAGACATAGCATAGGAAAAAATAGCTATAAAGGGAAATATTGCAAGATTGTTGAATGACTGAACAAGCAGTCAGCAGGCAAGGGTGCTCAAGTAGGAAGTTTGTTTTTATTTTAAATAAAGCTTGTTTCTTTCTGATTTCTTTTTTGATTTTAAAAGCAGTATATTTTCATTTAAATAAAATTTGGCAAAAAGAGAAAAGTATCTTACTTTGTTTAATGACCATAATCCAACTACTCAAAGATAGTCCCTATGAACATTTGAATGTGAAAAAAAATTTGTTGTTGTAATGAGTTACCATAAAAAAGAAACTTTTGGGGGAGTTTGACCATGTACTCCTTTATATTTTAGTTTCTTGCTGCTGATAGTTGCTCTCCTGGCTTGTTTCTCAGTTCATCTTCTGCTTAGCATGTGTATTCAGACAGGTGAGTAAAAACATGTTGATTCATTTGATGAAGCAACATCAAATTGTATCCACATACAAGATTGGATGTCTAAAATCTAATTTCCAGTGGGCGTACATTATTATTAAGCCGGGTGGTTGAAATGGAGAGTTTGAAAAGGCCGGGATATATAGTATACTCAGCCCTATTGGGGAACATCCAAGGACAGGATGGGAGGAGGAAACTGGCATTCTTATCTGCCTTTCTCCACAAAACACAGCATAGTTTTCTGGGTTAAACTATATTGGGAGAAGGATCTAAAAGGAGTTCAAAGAATCCAACCTTATGCTTATGGGGAAGCAGTAAACATGTGTTCATTCTGATCATATTTCTCCTAGGGTGATCATTTATTTACTCAAGGAGAACAGCTTCCCAAATCTATTGCTTTCCCTGCCCCGCCTCTGTCTGTCAGAGGTGAGCGTGGCAGAATTAGGATTGTGGTGGATTTATTCAGTTTGTATTTTTACTTGCAAGTCTAGAATAAGGTAGTTTTTTTACGACAGTTGTATGTGCAATTAATACACTCTCTCAATGTGTGTGTGTATGTTATTTTTTATTTGGAAAACTTTATTATGCAATTCAGTCATTTAAGTTCCTTTAAGTTGTAATAAATAAAAGTATAGCATAAATTATAGAACTGCTTTTATAAGGTTTTCCTTTGGCATTTCTGATATGTGCCTGTCAATCCTGGTCTTTTTATCTGTCTAGTCTTTTCTTTCTTTAGATTAGATCAGTTATGATGCCAAAATTATGAGTTTAGTACCTGCGTGGGTGAGTTCACTTTGTTCTAGCCGGTCTTGTAGTTTTCAGACATTTAAGAAGCCGAATAAGTACATAAAATAGATAAAAATGGGATTATTTGGGATGAAATAGGTGAGAGGTGCCCAAAGGCATTTCTTGATAATTTTAAGACTCTTTAGAACATAATTCTAAATCCATGGCTCTATTTTCCTAAAATCTCTCTATTCATCACATGCACCTACCTGTAGATCTTTTTGTAAGGAGAGCTTTCTAAGCCTCAGGGATTCTAATTCCAAAAATCTGAGGTGAGATTCAGGAATATGTTTTTAACAAGTCCTCCAGGTGATTCTTATACAAAACTGATTTAGGATCCATAGTTCATAGCTGTAACTTGTACCAACGCCGCCTTTGGCCATCAGCCTACAAGTAAGTGTATGCCCCTTCTCTCAAGGGGCCTGGGCAAAAATGCAGACAGGTAAAAATACTAGGAACCAATGCAAATGTTAATTTCAAAGTAACAAATTCATAACAGCATCCAAAGTTCAGGAATAATAGCATTAAAAGAAATGTATTTGTAAATCCTCCTGAAACTTGACAAGAATTTTTATGACATGTTTTGAAATTTTGCTTTTTTTGGTGAAAAATTTTTACCTATTTATGACAGTTATATAACATCTTAATAGTTTGTTTTATTATGGATTCTACTAAAAGATTAATGTTAGTTAACTATGTGGCAATTATGTCTTCATTAACTAACATTTTGTTTTATTAATTTCAGTTACTTGGGAGTAATAGTCTTATGAAGATTTCTAAGTA